AATCCTATAGTTCTTAGCATTACATTTTGATTACATTTACAAAGACACTGGAGAAATTCAAGTTCCATCTTTGCTTTTTTGCCTCCTCCATATCAATTATTTTGAATGGCTTATATGTTCAGAAATAAATCAAGATTCGGTAGGACAGAAGTCTTATTTCAGTCCCTGAAGTACCTTCCCTTCCGGGGGAGTGTGTTTCTGGAGTGGTCTTCCTGTCGTAGAGGGACTTGTGATTTCACTACTCCACATGCTGCACATAAACCTTTGAGACTGTCTTATTATTCTACTGGACATGTGCTTAGTAGAATAATAAGGGCTGCTAGAAGCTTTTAAAATTGATTCCTTGGCCTCACATTTGCCTTAGTACCACCATCACTCTTCTCTTAGTGCAGCTGATCTATACCTTGACTTGAGGTCAAACTTGGCAATATTTGAGCCATGCTAAGTAAAGGTTGTGACTTTTCCCCCCACTAATCCTTCCAGTCTCTGTCTCTTGTTAATGTGCCACATTAATCCTTATACTGTACTTTGAGCATTACATGGAATTCTAGACAATTGTGCAGGATCTTGTAATAAACTTGTCTATAAAATAAAGCAATTTAAAATAAGTACAATACACCTCAATTTTCAGATTGTTAGCAACGTAACAAGCCTTTATACCTTGATTTAGGTGTTTAATAGAGGGAAAATTGAAAGATAATTTAAAATAAACCCTTTGAAAATGTGACTATACAGAATTGGCCATACAAAAAAAAACATCTGAATGATATTTTATTTGTTTTGAATGAATGAAGTGATGACACAGGAACAAGAAAGAAAATGTGTTGGTGTGATAGAGTGAGGAAAAAGTCGTCTTTTTAAAATACCAGTTATTCATAAAATACTAAGAATCTTCATTAAATGTTTCTCAATTGCTTAAGAACTGTATGTGTGTGCACTGTAGTAGAAGTAGTAGTAGATTTCTGTAGTAGAAATCAGTTTGGATTTATGACACCCAGATTTAGAAAAATGCATTTTTTTCTTCCAAATCATTGTGGAACAGGAGTAGTTTTGAAGGTCTCATTTTCAGCCTTGTTTATGTATCTTTTTGACTGAAAACTGAGCATTGGGGGATAATCTTCAACCATCATTTTGGACTTCAAAAGCATACTCAGCAGGTACAGTACCATTTCTGCTGGGCTTATAGATCAACCTAGAGCATCATATCCTGTTCGCAGAGGCAGGATGTATTAGACGAAGAAAAACACCTGTGTGTTTTATGCACCTGACCAATATGTATAAATTAAGATCTTAAGAGATAATGCTCTTATTTGAAGTCCATGGTAGAAAACTTCATTTGTGCCCTTTTGCAGCTGGATATTACATTCATATGAGCCTGTGCTGGGCTAATCCAAACTAAGCACTATCAGTAAAGTGATTTTATATATGACATTGGTCACAACCTCTGCCCCCTTCCTCCTTGTTAAAAAAACAGATGGAGTGCACCAGTTCTGTTTCTAAGCATTTTGTTCCGTTCAGAAGCTCTTCAGCATTCGCAGGTACTGCTTTTACAGCCACAAAGAAACATCCATTAACTCCAGCTTTTGTACAAATGAATGAATGAACTTATTCAGTTGGGCTGACCTGAATTTGTTTTTTCTTTACATACAGAACACCTTGTTCGCTGACAGAGTAATTAGAGGGGTACGGTAAACTCATCAAAGCACCAGCCACTCTTTGATAGTGCTCACATAGTATAAGACATACTGTAGAAACGCCAAGACCTATGTGTCTTTTTTACAGTAAACTTCAAAAAGAATTTAAGCCTGTGACTGTTAGAGAAAGTAATAAGGAAAAAGCAAAATCTGATTATGTTAATAAAATTTAATGGTGGTACTGTCCCATTTACTAAGCACTTACATTTTTAATGTTAACATAACTTAACAACAACTTATTGCTATATGCACTCAAATAAATCTATTGAATCTATTGAATGTTATATGAAAATATGATTATATTCTGTTCAACATAACCTGTTCTATGACCAAATATAAGATCTTATTTAAAACTATTGGAAATTCCACCACTCCTGTTATTCCTTCCCATATCTTGTCTAGATGACATTTTTTTAATATTTGCATACAAATATATGATTGTAATGATCTATTTACAATCCTGGCAATTCTGGCAACCCACTGAAGTTAAGCAGGTGTGAGCCTGGTCAGTACCTGGATGGGAGACCTCCTGGGAAAAACTAAGGTTGCTGCTGGAAGTGGTGTTAGTGGGGCCAGCAGGGGGCGCTCACCCTGCGGTCCTTGTGGGTCCTAATGCCCCAGTATAGTGACGGGGAAACTATACTGTAAACAGGCGCCGTCCTTCGGATGAGACATAAAACTGAGGTCCTGACTCTCTGTGGTCATTTAAAATCCCAGGGTGTTTCTCGAAAAGAGTAGGGGTGTAACCCCGGTGTCCTGGCCAAATTTCCCATTGGCCCTTATCAATCATGGCCTCCTAATAATCCCCAACTATGAATTGGCTTCATTACTCTGCTCTCCTCCCCACTGATAGCTGATGTGTGGTGAGCGTTCTGGCGCATTATGGCTGCCGTCGCATCATCCAGGTGGATGCTGCACATTGGTGGTGGTGGAGGGGAGTCCCAATTACCTGTAAAGTGCTTTGAGTGGAGTGTTCAGAAAAGCGCTATATAAGTGTAAGCAATTATTATAATTATTATTATTATTATTATTATTTCTGTAGTTTTTTTGTACCAAATACTGGCTTTAGTTGTATGTTTCATTTCTTTAGTATTTTACCTCCCTTGTAAAAGACTGAGATTATTCCTTTTGATCTATTACTCAAGGTAACTAAATGAAGACTATTTTTTTTTTTACTTTACTGTACAGGAGGTAAAATGTAAAATAACTGTAAAATAACAAACCCCTACAAAAAAGCAGAATTTTATAGATGTGATGTGTGTCACCTTAAAAGGTAAAAAGAGGTAAATAAACATAGTTTCAGAATATTTAACTTATTTTATATATAAATTATATTTATATATTTCACTGGATACATGCTGGTTATATACTCAATATATGTACAAGGTGAATACTTGATTAATACATACATACAATGTTTTGTAACACTGCACTACAGTGTGCTACAGTATGAAGGATGCCTTCCTTGAATAATGAGTTACTATATATGAAATATTGAGTTTGTTTGATCCTGCTATTGATATGACTGGACAACTTGGACATTTAAAAAAATGTTCTCATTATACTGTAGTGTTTCTATCTTGGTAATGCCACAAAGCTAATGTCTTGTAATAATGCATTGGTGTTAATCCTGGATGTGTTGATGCCTGGTTTTACCTGAAACAAAAGGTTAAACAATTTGGTCTCTTCCTGAAGGTGATAAGCAATTGTAAGGTCTTTTTCATCCTGTTTACTGACATAATTATAGCTGTGCTATATCACATATATCCTAGGTCCAATATTGCTCACTTTGATTCGTTGTAGTATTGATATTGGTGTGTCAATATATAACTTTTTGGAATTGCAAATGTACAAATTATGTATGTATATATGCACACACTTATCAGGAACCCACTAGATTAATGTTGATGTGTTCTAACTAAGTGATTGACTGTCAGGTTTAATTGAGTGAACAATTTGTTTTTTCTGAAGACCTGGGGAAGTGTTAAGGTTCACACCTATTTATAAATTCAGTTGTCTGCTTTGATGCAAAATAGAGCTCCAGTGGATCTGCATGGAACCATTAATTTATTGAGCTCTATTACAGAATGGACAGCTAAACAGCATACATTTCCATTAGCATGCTAAGCCTGATTACAGCCCAATTGCCTTTGCTAAGGAGCAACAATCAATAGCCTTTGCATTTCTGAACAGGGGATCATCCCACATGCAAAGTCAGTCTTTCCTGTGGTTTAGTCATGGACCTCTTGAACTGGATTTGTCATTTTTTAAACTCTTCTTTTTGTACCTGTCCTTGTTCTCATTTATTTTTCATTAATCTTGCTATAGATGCTGTGAGAACTTAGTATTACAAAATATTTTTGTCACCCTTCTTATTTTTGGATGATTTGGAAGATATATGTTGAATAGGTGAGTGTGTATTTGACTACTCATTGAAAACAAAGTGTAGATCAGCCATTAAGTAGACACCTATTTGTAACTTCTGATGCTATTAATAATTAAGTAGTTTGTGTATTTCGTAGAGAGTAAAGGCACCAGCATGGTTATGCTTAATACATTCTTGATAGCAACGGCCCAGTTGACACTGATATGTTTCTTGCTAGTTTAATGAACTAATAGCTTGTTTTTCTTTTTGTACAAAAGGGTGCTGAATTACTACTACAGTACTAAATGATTGAAGTATTTTCTGGGTTCTACACTAGGTAAAAATAGGATGCTCCCACCAGCAGCTTGCATTGCCGGTAGAAGTATTTATGGTTCCTGACTATTCCCTAGTGCCCAGTGTCTCAAGCACAATTCCAGATTTTCATGATGACTGAGAGTTTTACATTTGCTGTGTTGGCATATAGTAATAAGAGTTATAAGAAGTGTTCAGTCTAGCTTCCTCTAATTTTCACTCTGCTATATACAGTAGATCTTGGACTGCAGAGAAAAATGCATCATATTATCTTGGTCACAAAAAAGTTCTATGGAACTTTGAGAATTACGCAGATTAAACCATATTAGCAGACACATGTTTTTGTAGTTCTAGTGTTGTTGCTGTTATTTATTGTGTTAAAGTGCAGATGTAATAGCTAAGCTATTGCAGAAAAGTATTAATCACAGGAATTATGCCTGAAAATAAAGCCTCAGCATCCTATACAAGCAGTTCAGTCTTCCTCTACTGCTTGTTGATGTTGTAATGACTTTTAGAAATGTTTACTTTGGTTTTCTTCAAATTCATTGGTTTTGCCCTGAAATCCTTTTTTTCTGATTTGGTCTCTCTTTAATTGAACTGAAGGAGCTCCATATAAATTTAAGGCTTGATGCAGATGTGCTTATTATTTAATCAGAAAGATACAGAGATTAAAAGATGCAGACAATTAAGGAACACATCTCACAGAGGTAGAAGCAAGTTATAACATTGTAGGTACCCTGTTGGTGAAGCTTGGATGAATACTTACAACATATTACTGGTGATTTGCTGATGTGAAGCAATAGAGAAAGATTCTAATATCACCATACCAGCATAGAGGGGTGGATTCACCAAATCCCAGTATGCATGCCTCTTTGTTTTGCTTTAATGCTTTTGAGAAAGGTCATCAGATTAACAGAATGATAATTATCTCGTAAAATCATTGTGTCACCTCATGGAGAGCTGATCAATTTGACTGTGCTTTTTTTACACTTTCAGTGTATTTTAAGAATAAATTAATTCTCTGTAATTTCTAACTAAAATGGGTAAAGCAAACAATGAAACACATGAGGCTGGTTATTCAATCCTTTGAATGTCACATCTGTCAATACAGTATGTGTGCATTTCATTTTATTGTACATAATGTCACTATAGTTCAGTCGTCATTTACAAAGCAAGCTCTAGCTTTACTAAAATAATTCTTTACAGAATAAACATTTGTCTCAAATCATACAGGAGCTTTTGTGTAGAAAAATAATTTGGGGACCCATTTTGTTTTGCCAGGAACATTGCAAATTTGTATTTTATGCGGTTGAAATTTCATTTAACACCGGTCAAAGCTAAGTGAGAAAATCAGATACACAGATACGAAAACTAGGTCTATGTATTACTTTCCGAAACACTTTATTTCATAGGTAGGCCACATGTGATGATAAAGTTTTACTGGCAATTGAAATCAAAGTGAAAAAGAAATGGCAGCAGTATTGTGTTGCGCAACACCCTACTCAATTCAAATATTCAAATCCAAAATTTCTGATCTGCGTAATCAATCCAGTTAACCAATGGATGGCATAAATTCCGTATTACTGACCAGGTTTTTGCACAAACGCCCTCCTGTCGTCGCAATATCCTTTAACTTCCGTTTATATTATTATGATGTTTGACGCGAGAATACGTACTATGTATGAGAACTGCTCTGTACGAAAGCTGTGTTGTAAAATATTTGTTCTATACTCACTGAAAAAACGTCTGTGCAGAACTACATTTTCTGTCATTTACAGGGTATGTCTGAGTGGTTATCTGTAATAGTCTCAATTCATGGCAATATGGTTACAAAAACTAATCTTTCAATTTAACTTTTTAAAGCTTCTTACCGCTCACCCTAATTACTGTACTTTCTAGTGATTAATCGGATTGCCAGAGAAACTGAATCAGGTGGTCTGAGAAAAAGGGTAAATCAATCATTAAATTAAACAAATACCAAATAATCTTTATTATAGGAATGCATGTATTTTCTTTACATTACAGTACTCTCCCTCTTTTGCCTCTGCCTTTTTACTCTTGATCCGTCAAATCGTCGTCAAAAGCGAACCTCCTGCCTGGGTGTTGTCTCTTCTCTTCAGCTCTGCTCTTGTTGACGTTATCAAGCAGCTCTAGCAACAGACTAGCCTTGTTGCACTTTACGGGGTCTTTGATATCGCAGGGAAGGTTGTTGATATAATCTGGGCTTTTGATGTCCCAATATCTCTTCCCGGGGTGCTGCCGTTTCTCCAAGTCCTGTAGGTCCCCAGCATCGAGTTCATTCTCCAGTTCTCTCCTGCCCGGGTGCTGTCGTTTATTGTACGACAGGTAGCGTTTACCTGGGTGCTGTCTTTTGGACATGTCACTTTGGTAACCCATCTGAGAATCTGTGGCGTCGGAATACTGGTCCATCAGGGACCGCTTACCCGGATGTTGACGCCTTTGCAGTTCCACATAATCGTCTGTTTCGTCCTCTCGTTTTCCAGGATGCTGTCGCTTTTGCTCCTCGAAGTAGTCATCGTCCTCCTCCCGTCTGCCGGGATGCTGCCTTTTCTCGAAGTCGGGGTATCTTAAATCTTCGTCCTCCTCGCGCCTGCCCGGGTGTTGCCTTTTCTCAATGTCTTCTTGGTACCTTTTGCCAGGATGCTGCCTCTTAGAAAGCCACTCCTGTTGCGAAGAGACCTGATCTGTAAGTGAAAGAAGTACGAGAAAAAAAGAAAAGAAAAAGAAGATAAGAGTTATTTAAAAAAAAACCTACAGACAGCATTAGAGTTTGTGCAATACACCGAGTGGAACCTGAAATTAGTTTTCAACAGTATAATTGTAACCCAATTACTTTACCAACCACAGTAAGAGCGAACTTTTAAAAGATGACACATCTTGAGGTTTTTAATTTTTAGAGCTATTATCTGAACATTATACTCATGGTGGCATAAATCAGCGATTATCATTTGTGCGTTTTGGGCCATTATATCTAACATAGTTCAACGACTCGACTCTCCGTTGTGCAATCGAATTAAATAAACCACGTTTCAAAAGCAAATCTCGTATACTACATGTAGTGAAAGAATTTGATTGAATTGCGTTTTATTTTCGTTCTGTTGAAAAACTGGCCTGCTTTGTGTCGATTTCTATTTCTGGTCGAAAATAGTTTACAGGAGCTGAAGTATAATATGGCATTTGATATAGAAACGTGTGTGCCTCGACTTTTAATAAATTAATATAAGACTTGTTTAAAACAATCTTAGAACGGCTTAAGTGAAACAGAATTGAGTTAATAGAACAGGACAACCAGATGAATGACCTGTATTCATTATATAAATAGAATGTGTTCGTGTTCACAGCTGTCGGTGTATGTTGTATTAGTTATTTATTTAATATACTGTGTATGTATACCATATCTGTGTATGGTCAAAATGCGTAACAAAACGCATAAGTATCGCGGAATAAATACATGACAACCGTATCGTGAATCCCAGATATTTAATCTGCCATAAATTGAAATGGTTATGTGTAAAGCAATGAAAACGGCAACAAAGTAAATGAAAAGAGTCATTAAAAAGTTTCCTTTTCTACGAAATGAAAGCGTGCTGTACAATGGCACAATTATCTGCTTGTGGCTTTAGCTTTCGATGAAGTTTGTGAATAGAGCTGCGAAATAACGAGCTACATACCATTAAGTTTGTCCTCATCTTCGATCTTTTTCAGTAGAGATCTGAAGATGATGTTCTGTGCTCTCTGTAGTATATCATCTAAGGGCACTCGTTCTTCCTTGTCGCTTTCATCAGGGATATTTTGTCCCAGATTGACAGTGAGATTGCAAACAGTGAGAGACACTAGAAGAATCAAGCAGGCAGACCTCATAGTGATGCTGGTTTCCTTGGACCTAAAACAAAGATTAAGATTTTATTAAAGCAGAACTCACTAAGCAGATGGAAAGACGTGCCGCTGTTTATTTAATAATAAATTAATAGTATTGCTAAATAAAGTTCAAAATTGCACGAAATAAAGAAATCACAGTTGCATGAGAACTGCAGGTTCAGAGAACGCGAAACTAATGTAAGGAGGTCCCGTTTGTACTACTGTACATACTTCTGTTTCCCGACTGTAAAGAAACTTACTGACATCTAAAGACGTAAAAACTCATAAGCAGACATGCACATGTAAAATCTCGTCGATAATATTAAAAGTTTAACACTCTTAGTTTGTTGATTGTAATCACCATTACATATCGAAACTTAAAAGACAAAGATGTGGGCACAACAGCGTCAAACCAAATGCCTGGAAAAAAAAACACCATAACTTACCTGCTGTTAAAATATTGCAGGCTAACTTTTCTTTACAAGAAAGTCTTTCTGTTCTTCCTATGCACTTCCTCTGCACGTACTTTTAATACATGACAATAGTGCTGAGGACGTTCTTACAGAGGTTTGATTGGAGAGGCACACTAACGTATCCACGCAGCTTTCGAAGTTGTGTGTCCGATATGTTGAGGCTCCTCATTTATAGTTCTCGTACACCCCCAACATGCTAACGATTTTGTAGTAATTTGGGTGGTATCGGTTGTTTCATTGATGTCACCAGTAATGATTTCTAAGCGTGCCTGTCAGCAGGCACAGTTTTATGTTTAACTGTAGAGGTCGCTGTTCTACCTTGTTTTCAAATGTCAGGCTATTCACCAACTTCGTTCAAATCCTACTTACAAGTATCCGCAAAAAAAGAAAACAGTAGAATTGGATCTGAAGTGTAAATTAAGTCATCAAAATTAATACCCAAAGTGGAGTTGCCCTCAGTGATAATATATCATGTAAACTCAAAATTGTCCTTATATGTGCCTAATTAAAAGTTTTTACGAGTTTTTTCCCGTTTTAGTTTGATCTGTCTGCATACGTGCACAGCGATAAATGCAGAATACATTTGAAGATAAGTTAAACAAAAAGTTTAAAATGATGATTCACTACCTTTCATGCAGGATTAAAATGATTGTTGGAAAAAAGTTTTAAGAAAACGAAATACATAAAGTGAGTGCTGGTCAAATGCTATATCCACTAATACTAAGAAACAACCATTGGAGGTAAGGGTAAAGCTACAGTATACAGGAGGTACTGTATATGCAGGAGGCGCTGTCCGAGGTTCTGAAACCCATGTATCGCTAAAAGACTTCATTTAGCAAAATTGGGCGCTCAAAATAACTTTGTTAATTGTCATAGCAACCCCAAAATTAAAAATATGTTTTTAAAGAATTGTAACATTTATTAATCAAAGCATGAAGAAAGCATAGTATAATAGACAAGCAACGTAGCACACACTTTCTAAAGTCCTTTTCAAATACATTTCTTATTCATGAAAATATTTAAACAGGGATTCATTGTTCCGGCTATATAAAGTACGTTTCTAACATCAACAACCTATAAATAAATCTGCCAAAGTAGATGAGTGAGTTTGTGAATGGCAAGAGTACTTTAAATTAATTTGCGTAAAAGATACATGAAAATGTCATTTTTGTTTTATGTAACTTCTTGATATTCATACATAGTAAATATCACACAAATATAATTGAAAGACACGCTTTTCCTTGAAAATCTTCTAAACTGCCATTCAATGTTTTAACATACTGTTGCCTATTTCTTTATGCTTACAGTGCAGAGGATAATTTTGCTCTTCTACCTTAATTACTTTGTTTATATTAATATCTAATCTCTGGTCATAAATAATGGATTTTTTGTATTTTTAATCCTAATTTTAATTTATAAGATCTATGTACATACCAAGTTTGTACATTTGAATTACTATTGAAAATGTTGAACAAGGGTCAAAGTACAGTTGTCGTAAATGAAGAAAAGGTTTAAGTTACAGAAATCTTAAGCTATAAAAATAGTTTATTGATTCTTAAGTGTAACGTTTGCAGATCACATTTTAAACACATTTTGAAGGTTCTTTCATTGGTAAGTGCAGATCATTTCATTTCAGTGAGATACCCTTTTACATTTCATTCAGCCATTTGAAGTCCCCTTCTCATAGACGTGTAATGAAATAATTCATAGCTTTATAAATGTGCTGTCATATCTAATACAGTAAGCTGCCAATACTCATCTCGATTCATGTAAAACACCTACATGTACCTCTTAAATTCCTGGAGTCACTGTGTTTAAATGCTCAAGAACAGAAACTCCACTGGACTTTGGAAGGCAAGAGATTTATCTCCATTTATCCATGGAAGTTTAGTTTTAAATGGTACATTTTTGTGAAGTTTAAACAGGTTTTATTATTTTATGTTTCTATTGGGTGTTGTCACCCTTGACTTTGTCTTTTACATTGATTTGAGCAAAATACGTTTTCTTTTGAAAATTCTGTTGCTGTGGACCGCCTCACTTTATTCTATTAGGGTCTGAATGGAGAAGGTTAGCACATACTGTAGTTCTCTACTGTATATGACACAATAAAGTTGAACTTTAAGAGTTTAAACTGTGGTGTGTGTTTTGCCAGTATTACACAAATCAACTACTGTATATTTATGACTACTGTATATTTAACCAATTAAGTGCATTTTATGACTGAAATCTCTTAACCCTTTTTAAAGATTTTTTTTAATTAATGAACATATTGCTCATAATAGAACTGTGTGATGTGATATTAACTATAGGAAATTATGTTAATTATATATATTAAAGTATTTTTACACAATATTCTAGAGTTGCAAATTAGCACCAAATATAAGGCTTAGCACTGATTTGCTTAGTACTTAGTACTTAGGTTTGGTTTGGCATATTTTGTAGTCTTTAACAGTAGTAACTGTAAAGTATTCAAGATAAAAATTAACTTCAAACAGATTAATATTATATTCCACAAAAATGTATAATGATTCCAAAAGAAGTATTTATTAGATGCAGTAATTGCTGCTGGAACAAAGAAATCTTGGAGATGAAAAAAAAAGAACCTTGAATTCACTGAATCGCCTTCATTGTTACGGCTGTCTACAGATTATAAAAGAGGTGTGCCTAAGTTTGGTGATTGAATAAACCACAATTTAACATTATTTTTGACTCTTTAAATGATCATCTTTTTGACTAATATGGGCATCAGGCAATGTGAAAGAAGGGTTAAAATTACAACCAATTTAACCCTTTCCCTCCTTTGTTTAGCTGTAGCTAATTTAAAAAGAAAACATTAGCGACATAAATGTCATATAGCAGTACTGGCAGAGCAAACTTTTATATAACTATAATTGTAATTATTATATTGGCTCACAAGCGATAATATAGAGGAGTTAATAGACATTCAATTTTAATTTGATAAAAACAAATTGCCACAGGAAGCTTTCACACATTGTTAATGTGTAACAAATTAAGATGTGTGATTACAGTTTGTATTATAATTCAATGATGAACCAAGCAATGCAGGTTAATTTTACATTAATATAACACAAAAGCAGGGAACGCTAGCTTGTCCTTCCATTCTATTGCAAACTTGACCTCTTTTGTGGTGTAATGGGTTTGAAAATTTAAATCCTCTATTTAATTATATCATTGACAAATAATTCCAAACAAATCCTTATTTGCAAACTAAATTGTAGGATGCCATGGAGAACTGCAAAAAATAAGGAATTAATGCATTTTTTTAAAAATGGGTATGGATTTTGGTGTAATGTCAGAATAAAAAGCGAATTTAAGGAAAAACACCAGTCTATCTAATCAGACATACTGTGCAATTACTAATGGAATGCTATTTCTCATATAGTTTACCCAACTTTTAACACTGTGAAAATGCAACTGATACATTTAAATTACATTTTTAAAACAATGATAAAAAATAAAGATGCATTGACCTAAAATCACTTTCTGGAAATTAGGCTATTTATATCTAATAAATGACTGATAAACGGTTTGATTTATTATAGCACAAACACAGGAGAAACAATGTTTCAGAAATCTCCAGTGTTTCTGTTATTTTTTTATTGGACGATATTAACCACATTTAAGAGGATGAAACATTATCCTTGGGGCCAGTCACAGACTAGGTGTAAATTAATGTTTCAGATCCACTTTAAACAATAACACATTCCACACAGGATTGGTCCAAATCTACTGTCAATTTTCATTAAAATGTAAATAATAAATGTTTTAATACATATTTCCTGAAAGCAAATAAAAGGTTTCTGACTTAGTTTCCTGAGATTTTGATTCAATGAGGTTTTTAAGACCAAATTAAGGATCAGAGACCTTAGAAATATTACACATTAGCTAGAAATTAGTACTTAGAAATATAATTGTGAAGAATGTGTAGAAGATGACAAACTTTTACGACTATCAAAATTGAAAACAAAACATTTGACATAAGCAACACAAGTGAAAAGGAAGCCTAACTATAGCCTTTTGAACATTCTGCAGTTAAGTAACACAATTTTCTCCCAAAAAGACATTAAAATCTACAAGATGAGTAGAGAGGTCACTCACAAGCTCTGTTTCAGGTTTTTATAAAGGATTACATGTAACTTTTTGTTATTTGCTTAAATCTCATGATGCGGCAACATTACCATTTTGTATAAACGGAGACAACATAATCTTCACAGCATGATTCAATGGTCACTCGGGTAGGCACCACCTGAAAAATAGTCATCTCTCTAAATATTCCCTCCAGAGGAAAAGTGCCAAAACATCAAAGTCTAGAATTGCATTAAGATATTAGGAATTCAGCTCCTCTTCTGGAGTTGCCTTGATTTGTGTTGGCCCGCCTGACAAATCTTCTCCTGCAGAGTCCGTGTCATGCATTACTCATAACATTCTGTGAGGCGCATTTTTTTATTTCTTCATATAGGTTTTTTATTGGGGGGGGTCAGATCATGACAGCTCCCTGAAAGGCAATCTACAGATGACACAGAGGTTCACAAGCCTGAATACTGTATTTGGAAATGTCTCACTGTGAAGACCTCTCCTCTTACTCTAAACCGGGCAGATGTGTTACCAATATACTGGATTGCGGTCCGACCAGTGACCAATCTCCACTTGAAATGTCTGAAGTAATACAGGGCTTTCAGTGCCTTAAATGTGGGTATGCTTAATGTGGTGCTCATTTAGCTGTAAAAACTTTAATATTTGTTGTCAAGAGAAGAATAAAAACAAATATTTTGGAACTGTTTCCTGAATTTCTCCTACAGTGACATTGATATTAAACTATTCGTTGCCCAATACACACTATAAAACACTTTAAAGTGATTTCAGTTTCACATATAAATGAACTGACTATTTTTACAAGTTGACTTTTTTAATCACACTTCCTGCCAGCAAGGTTAGTGTTAGCTTTAATAAATGTGGGAATAAATGTGATCTAGATACTGTCACGGACTCTTAGAGTGGGACCACACAGTTTGTACTGAGCAGCTTACTGAAGACTTCACAAATAAAGAAGTTATTTCAGAAGCCAGAGATACAATTAACCTTGTTAATGTTGTAAACAGCCTGGAAGAGAGATGTGGCTGGCCTGTTAAAAGCCAAGGTCAATGTTAAAAAAATGATAATTAACCCACTTTAAGAGGAACTCTAAGGGACCAATT